GTTTTGATCCCGATTAGCGTACATATGGGTAAAGCATCTATGTATTCAGGACTACACAGTGATTCCGGTGACATCTTTTTAGCTCTTAAACCACCTCCAGAGGGGGAATGAAATTCTATTTCAAGCCTGTGCTTCTGATTTACATATACATCTATATATGTGTGTGTGTAGTGTGTGTAGTACAGTGAAAAAGTAAACAGTTAAATTACTCTCAAGAGTAAGATTAGAGAAGAACAAAAAAATGCACCCATTTCAGTGCACCAGTATAACATTTCCATGCTCTGGAATAAAATCTTAACTTTTTTTGACTTGTTGCTTTTTCTGTGTCCAGCATCAGTCTTTTCATGTTCCTTTGAGGAAAATACACATCTTTATTACATTATATACATTAAAAAGAATATATGTTACTTTGCACACATTCTTAAAGGCTTAAATAATATGACAGTTAATTAATTTGAGTGTCCCAGACTGGAGTGACTGAAAGACTCATCCAGATAGCTGGCAACTGTGCAGCTAGTAGAAACGGCAGCTTTGGAGGCTGAACTAAGAGCGCCTCCAAGAGCCTGTTGGCAAAGGCCTGAGAAACACCGAAGTAACCGCTGTACGTAGACTGCTCCGGTGGGTGACTTGTGCTGCAAGTGACCAGCTGAAACTGCCACCAGAGCCTCTTCCTTCACTCCAGTCTGCACTGCAACCAGATAGTCCTGCTCCTTCTGGCAGCTGATGGAAGGTGATATGTTACCACATGCTGCCATATTTTGTGATTGTGGGAAGAAGCCTGGCATTCTTTGTTTTGAAACAAACCCCAAACTTCTGGAAGTTAAACAGTCATGGACATTCATGCACACATGCTTCAATTGTGAAGTTCAGTTCCCTGCGCTAATGACAGGAAACTTCTAAAAATCCTCTGAATCACCATGTTCTAATGCTGTTAAGTATAAGGGGCCTGTTAGAGTTTCCATATGCCAGGGAAGACTCTTTTGTGTGTTGCCACATGGGATTTGCATTCCTGTTACAGACTGGCAAACCTGAGCTTTTGCTTCCTGAGCTTGGTAATAGGGTTTTTCTTGCATTTCTTCTGCTGAGGAATCTGTATGCGTGGGGGGAACAAATAAAGACCATGTGGCCCAGTCCCTTCTCATAGTTCGAACAGTTGCCTAAAAGGTATTTTATTGCTTGTCTGTGAGTAGTAAGTGCTTTTCTGTGAAACTGGTGTACCATGGAGCCCAGGTTTTGAAAACTGTTAAATTTTCAGGGGCAGGTTTGTACGTGTGGAAAGCTGCATGTTCAGGTGGTGGTAAGAAGGTAGGATTTGGAAGAGCTGACCCTCTTACTTACTGGGGAAATGTGTGAATTGCTGTTTCTCATCAGAGTAATTATAAGAGAAATCAAGGAATTTTAGAAACCAGTTAAAATCAGGACTCATCTTCCTGGTTCATGTATTAGGCTGAAGAGTTAGAGTCTCATGTGCATCTGCTTCTCCTGGTGTAATGAACTCACAGAAGTAAAATATTCTCAGTCTGGTCAACAGCCTGGCTGTTACATTGCCCTCCTGGAGGATAAAGGAAGGTGGGTTTGAACTTCATGAAGAGGAGGTGAGTATGTTGACTACTAGCCTGTTGCATGGAGCTTGCTGGTTTTAAGGGTGGTTCTCACCAGTAGATGACAGTCAAATGCTTCTGTTTATGAGGGGATGAACCATCCTCACAGAGATGGCTACATCAGGGTTTATACTGAAACACGTGAGAGTAGATTTGAGAAACGTTCCTCTTGGGATCTTACAGCTGGCTACTTTAGGTTTTTTGGTTTGTAATTTTTGAATGTCTGCAGCTGGGATGTGGAAAAAGGCCTTTCAGCAGCAATGAGAGCAGAACTTCAGAACTTGAGCTCTGTGAACACTGGTTTTGGTGTCTGACTTGGGCTTGTGCATCCAGTCTGTGCCAAAGGCTTGAGACTACATGAGGTAATGCTGTGGGCCCAGGCTCTTGTAATTTGTGTGCTGAGATTCAGATTGTTTTGCACAACAGAATCTATGAGTCTGTTTAGTCCTTTTTTTTTTTTTTTTGCATTTGCAAAGTGATAAGGTGTTGAGGTTAGGACTATAATGTGTACTTGTATGATGTTTAAGTTCTTTAGAAACGTAGTCACCCCATCTAACACAATAGGAGAAATGAAGCAATATTGACACGAGGTAGCACTGGTTTGTGTGAATTCAGGAAAGTATTTTATATACAGTAGGCAAATAATTCAACATGTGACTAATCCAATAAGAATGCTGGCACACCAATGAGCAGCTTCACGCTTGGGTTTAACAGTATGTCTGCAGTGACTTTGCAGCAACTGCATTTACTGGGGGCAAATTTTGGGTTGCATAGAAGAAGGATAGTACATTAACATATGTACATGACCATTCAGCTGCTGAACTCCTCCTGTTTTTCCTGGTGTCCACACTGGCATGCCGCTTTGTATAATTCAACTTTGTGTGATAGATTCTCAGATTGCCCCTGTTATTTCCTTTTCTTCCTTCCCAAGCACCCATTGATTTGTTGTTCATCTATCTTGAGACTGAATTCCCCTCGGAGGGTGCTGCAAGACCCATAGAAACTTCAGTAAAAATAAAAATTATGCTTACAAAACCTTAAGCATCTCAACTGGAGGGGTGAGTTGCACAAACTTAAAAGGAATCCTATGTTTGTCTCATCTCAGAAAGTTTTTTGGGGGGGTCTTACTGCCTCTCTGTTTTGCTTTCTGTGCTTCTGCCACCCTGTGCAGCCTTCAAGTCCCTTTAGTGCTGCACCAGGAATAAATTCCAGAATTGAGTGTGCAGGGAGTAAGCGAGTAGGGAGTAAGTTTATCTCTGTAGCCCTTATGTTTCTAGCTTTCCTCATGGCATTGACAGCATTTTGTATCTTTACAGTTTAGGCACTGTTCCTGCCAGCTTGGGGGCTGAGGGCTACGAGTTGCTGTTATGAGGCTCTTTTCCACTCTCTTCAACCTAATAGGAGCTTGCGGACCTTTCTGCAGGGTGGGAACAGCCGGGATTACGCGTGTTTGCTCGTGTCCTTGGTAGCAAAGAATTACTTACAATGCCAGCGGGTTTATTCCGCCTGTGAGCAATGTGCCTATTGAGCAGTGCTTTTGGTGTTTAGCCAAACAGATGGATTTAACAACTAACTGGGGGAGGAAGTAGTGGGGCTTTTTGTGTGTTTATTAAACACAAAGTTCTCCTTTAGATGTGAGTCACTTCTATTTTACTGTCCTTTACTTGTTGGCCTTGTGTTGCATCTCAGTAGAAACACTGCATCAGTCAATATTCATTGCCTTTCCAGATCAGTTCTCTACATTTCATAGCAACAACTTGTTCCAGTGAGAGAGAGAGAGAATTTAAGTTGCACCAGAAATGTTCTCAACAATGCCAAGTATTTCTGTAGATGATGATTTCTTTCTGCACCGGCTTCAGTCTCTCCAACAGAAAAGATACAAACAGACTCTCAAGTGGCACTTGCTGGGACAGATGAATGTACTTGGTCATGACTTGGCCATGTTGCCTCTCAGCCACAGGTGTGGGAGCAGCCCTGAAGCACTGTCAGGAAAGCTGTATCTCGTGATTTGCTTTGTGGTGGTGGTTGATTTCTGTTCCAGGATGAGAGGATTGCTTTCTGAGGGGTTTGTTTCCTGAAAGGACTTCTACAAACTGTATGGGCCCTGGAAGTATCAGATTAAGCCAGAGCTAGATGCTGAACAGTCAATAGTTTAAAATGAACCGAGTAAGAAAGAACATTGTGCAGATGAAATTCAATAAATTGCACCAAGTGTTCCTGTATCTGGTACGTTATTTCCCCAAGGCAGAGCTGAGATCATAGGTTGCTGCAGGACAAAGAGCTCTCTTGTTTCATACTCATGCTACTAGATGACCCATTCCAGCCTAGATCTCAAAGATCAGAGCGTGTCAGTGTCTTATCCTGAACCTAACTGTTGTTCCTCTCTGGAATGCTTTCCTTTTACCAAAGCCTAGAGAAAGTCTGACACATCTCATTCAACCAGCTCTTCTAATGTAATGTGGTGTACAGTTAGGAGTAAAATGAAGGTATTTATGTGTCTCAATTCTGTATTTTTACTTTTTTGTGTGTTTAGTGATGTTTTGATTTTGTTGCTTTTTTGATGTTTACTTCTTTGTAAGATACTAATGGTAACCAAGTCTAGCTTTAGTGGGACTTCGATGAAACATTTTTAAAAGCTCATATTTTTACTTTTATCTGTCCTCTTAACAATGCCTGGATTCCTTGATATTCAATAAAATTCTTGATTCCATTCTCTTCCATTGCCTACATCCAACAGGTCCTGCCTCCCTGTTGTATCTGCCTGCCTGGTGCAACGGTCCCTTATACACTAGTGTTTCACACATGGCACAGGAGGGTTTACCTTGTGCAGGGGGGATCTTTGTGGTTTGCTGGCGCTGCTTGCAGGACTTGGGCTCTGGCCAGTACAGCAGAAAAATGTCAGATACGTATGTTAACTTGTAAGTAAGTGTGTACAACTTGAATTCCAATTTCATAGGAGGTGCCTGAAAAACAGAAATAGACTACTGGTTTTTAGACTGTATGTTGCTTGGAAAAATGTGCTAAAGGACAGGTGCATTCTAGCTTTATTCTGGTTGTCTGCTGAAGTTAGACCTGAGTTTTACATCTAGGAGTATCAGCCCAGGCATGCACACTCAGTCACTACAAGCCTCACAGTGTTCATACCAATCCTTCATAGTTTGAAGTAGTTTGTTATCCAGTGTTATTGCTTCATAGTTGCAAAATGAAAACTATTTATTGTAAATAAAGTAAATTTAAAAAGGAGAAAAGTAATTTGCATACTCAGATGCACAAATTACATGTGTTTTATCAAAATTGTTAGCTGTATGTTGGCGCAGACATACATCACTGAAAGAATGGCAGGTATCCAGTATCAAGACTGTGCAGCTCCTCTTTTAACACTTATTTCTCTTTTTCCAGAATACTCATCAGCAAAAGGATGTCAAAGATCACAAAGGGAAAAAGAGAACAAATAAATCAACATTTAGTAAAGAAGATAAAGAAGGTATAATGAAACAAGCCCTGCTAGACCAGGTAATACTATTATAGCAGGTTATCAGATAACAGAAACTGCTGGATTTAAAGATTTCTAAGTAAGTAGCAATGAAAAAGCTCTGTTGTCCAAGGGCAGAAATTCCCTTTTTTAGTACCTAGGTGCTAAGATGATTTCTGTGTTCGTGGAGTTCCAAGATCATTCCTTGGTCTAGCTGATAAGGGAACTGATTCTGATACAAGTTGTGGTTATTTTACCTGTATCTTTAGTTCATTCATTACCATTTAGTTCATTCATTTTTTTTTCTATTTGTTTATCTCTGTGTGGACAAGAGGAAAAAGGTGTGGACCAAATGGCCTAACAGTGAAGGCAGTCTTCAAAATTCTGTCCTAAGGCTAACGGAAAGCAGAGGTTTTTAGGTGTAGTGTCACGGTGTCACCATGCTGTGGCACTCAACGTTTTCAACGTCTTGCAGACAGTCGTTTCCAGAGGAAAGCCAGGAGGGTGTTATTTGGCTCTCTTCAGCTTAGAATAGTCACCTGTGCATTAACCAATAACTGAACTTGATTACCTTAAGCATTAAGGGGGTGGTATTCATCAGTATTTACTGTTACGACTGTTGCAGTCTCTATATTCCCTGTGAGTGGGTAGGTGGGCACGCACCAGCTGAACGGAATGAAAGGATAATCAATGTTGCCATCTGCTGGATGCCAACTGTGGACAGCTGAAAAATGCTATTTTCAGAGGGGATTCGTGCTGTCTAGTTTGAAAGTACACAGATAACTCTGTATATTGCCACCTAACAAAGAAAAGTCTCTTGCCTATTTTTTATTTCCAGCTGAGTTTGCAGAGGCTCTCAGAAGTTGGAGGAAAAAAAAAATGAAGTTCTTAAAGGGGAAGAGAAAAAAGAAATTATTGGATGTTGTCTTCAAGCATTTACTGCTAGTTTGCAGCATCTTTGTTTTTCTTTGTATTCTATAGAAGATGTTTTTGCTTTTATTCACTTATCTATGCCCTAAACATTCAGAAAATCTGTTTCCTTCCATTTAGTTGGAGTAGCTGCTTAAATGAAAGCATTAGAATTTATTTGCTTCTAAGAAATCCCTAACACTGAAGAAAAAGCATGTCCCATCTTCTTTGATGTATTAACTTTAGAGTTTTTTAGAGTAATAAAATCCAGATAAATTTCCCAGATATATCACAGAATGGCATTTCTGTCTGTTTAAAGGTAAATGTGTCTAAAATACAGATGTGAAATGACTATTCAAAAAGTTACTATATTTGATGAACAACATGAACTGCTTCAACTTTCTCCTTCAGAATCTTTCACCTATGCAGGATATATATGTCTACATCTCAATAAAGGATGGAAAATATACATGTATTTAACAAACCTCCCCACATAAGTTAGTTTATACAAGACACTTTTTTTTTTTCCAGCATAACCCTGGGAGAAATGCCACGTATGTCCAATATCGAGACTTGCTGAATAAGAAAGTTCAAAACCAGAGAATTCAGATTCAAATGTCTGATTGTAGGCTCAAACAAAATCTTGAACAGCAAAGAAGAAAAAAGGTATGAAGTTGTTTGAGGCACGGGATGAGGCACAGTAATATTTATTACTGTTAATAAGACTTGAGCGTTCGTGGGTGGTTCTGTGTGCTTGCTATTACTGGAAATCAGTGTATTTTTCAAGATAGGATATTTTGTTGAAAAGTCAGTTTGCTGCAAGAAGCAAAATGGCCAAAAAGACTGAGAAATCCCTTTAAGAAACTGTTTTGAAAGCAGATGTCAGAAATTTGTAGCACCATTAGCAATTAAGGAGAGATGATGTGGGCAAGCTGAGTGTTTTCTTCACCAGAGCAGAGCAATGACACTTGTGTGTCCTGAAAGTCTCTTCTGAACTCTGTCACCATGCATTACCTTTTGAAAGAATTCTATAATAAGACAGTAGCCAGTAGCAACTCTAAACTCTAAAACTCTAAAAGTAGCTCTTTCTAAAAGGAGAGAAAATAAAACATTTTATTTACCTTTTCTTCTGATGCCTGAACATGAGGCAGTAAAGATTCATTTGTACGTCTCAAGATTTCTGTCTGTTCTTACAATATCTTTGTGCTACAAGAAAAAACCCCAACACTTTAAATTTCTTGCTTTCAGAAATGCTTTAATCATGTCTTCCTTTCAAATCTTTCATTCTGGTTTAAAGGTTTTGCAGATGCAGTCTGTTAAGCACACACTTCAGATATTACTACTTGCATGCTACATTTTTGGGAGTGCAGGAGAGGACCTTCTGTCTTCAGCAGAAACAGACAGAGTAGCAGTGGTGGCTGAATTATTAAGAGATGCTTTAGCAATTCATGCATAACAGTAAAGATTAAGCAGATTTAAATGCATAAAGAGTGATTCTGTACTACTACAACAACAAAACTCCCAGTAAAAGTAAGATAAATTAGATAAAAAGAAGGCAATTTTCTAGAAGAAAGCATAATAATAGTAATGTTCCTCCCTCACACACACACATGAAAAGAAACAAAGTTTATAAGATAATAAACCATATTTTTTAGTTATCACACAGTCACTGAAAATATAACCTACTAAGAGAAATGTGGATGTGTTCTGTTTTCTTGCTTTAATATGACAAATACAGTCTGACATATATATATGTATATGTAATAGGACCAACAAGATATTTTAATAGGTGGGAGAATTAAACTGCTGTGCCTAGAATCCCCAGATAAGCCAACAAACAAGCAGATTTTATAGCTTGCAATTCACCAAATGCCAAATGTAGAAATCTGCTTCCTGTCTGTCACTCAGGTTGCCAACAGTGGTATCCTTTTATGGACTCTTTCCTTAGCAGTTGCTCCTTTTTCCTCAGGAGAGGAGAAAACGCTCAAATTTTTACCATTAAGGATGTCGTATTTGCTGTAACCACTGGGGAACAATTCTGCCTTGAGTGAAATAGCACAATTATTTCAGGAGTTTTTCAGTCAAATTTTAAATCACAGTGAATATCAACATCTAAATGATAGATTTTTATGTAGTTTGTTAGGTTTCATCTATCAGTTTGGCTGTGTAATAGCCTTGTCACTGTTAAGAGTTCTCACGTTGTATGCATGCAGGTTTTATTTCTTGCAGGTGTTTTTTGTATAGATATATATATATGAATTTCTACATGCTGTATAGGATTGTCATTGCCTATCTTGTGACTCTCTATTTACAAAATCTTGTTAAGCTGCTCTGTGACATATAGTTGCTTCTCACAACATTTTATAAACTCAGATTCTTTCATAGCAGTGAACTGAATAATATTTTAGCCTGTGGGTAGCAACAACCATCCTCTTTTTCTCTGTCATTTTCTGCTGCTTCCATCAGCTCTTGGATTTTTCAATGAATTACCCTGTTTCCCCTTAACAAAGGTTTCTCTTTGGCATCCTCCTTCCTTCACACTAGTTACTCCACTTGCAGGGCCTGTGAAGGCATGAACATGTTGGCTTCTGGAATAGACGTCACAAATCAGTCTAGCACTTCTTTCTGATTTTAATGGAGATGAGCTACTAGTTGTAATTTCTTGAATCTCTCAGTTAAGATGTAGGTAAACCATAAATCTTAAAGTAACAAACATTCCCAAATCCCATGCTTTGAAGTGAATAGGAGCTCCTGGGTAATCAGCACTTTCGGGAAACAAGCTGCTTAACTAGGTGTCCGAAGCCATTACACCCATTTAAAAAAAAAAAAGTTGGCCACAGTGTTTAAGGAAACCTGCAACAAGAAAAGTTTGAATTATATGAGCAGCTTCTGTGCAAAGCATCGGGCAAAGCCTGTGGATGCTAGAGAGGCCAAACTCAGCACTCCTGGAGCATTTGGCTCTGTTTTATCGATGCTCTCAGATTTGAAGTTTTATTGTATTTATGACTGTTACATTTGGTTGGTGGTAGGAATGGTGGGTTTTTGTTTGTTTCAACTTTATTATAAACAAACAAACAAACAAAAAAACAGGAGAAATCTAAAACAACAGCAAAATGCGTATGCATTTATATTTGTTTTTAAGTGTCCTCTATCAAGGTTTGCATTCCATTCCGTATGTCTTTCCCTTTCTATTCTCACTTCTCTTATATGGAAGTGGTGTATCAAGAATCATGTAGTTGATCTCACTTTACAGTCAAGATCTGAGGATAGGATGGGTTGTTCTAAGCAATTGATGTCAAACTGTTGTAAAACATATTTTTTTAAAGCATGTAATATAATTAATGTGTGCAGTATATTATTATAAACTACGTGGCTTCCTGGATTAGTAACATGTGACAAGGAACTTGCTTTGGCCCCAACACCTTGCAATCCCAGTGCCAGGAACTCCCCTAGTTCATGGCTTTGTGGTCAATATTCTGTCTGTCTCTCCCTGCACTAAATCCCATGTGAATCCACGGGCACTGGAGCGCTATAAAGCAATGGCATGAGCAGGGCTACCATGCAAAGGGATGCAAGGGGCATTCCCTGTGCTGGGCATCATAATGTTTCCCTCTTGCTTGTGAATTTGCACCATTTTTTGTGTGTCAGGTTCGTTGTTCAAGTGGGAATATCAGCAGTCGGAGTTGCCCTGCTTGTACCTGCATCACCTGGCCCTTTGCTAAGTGGTGATGGTTGTTGGGTTTGGGTTTGGTGGTGGGTCCTGCAGGGTTGTGCACTGGGAGCCTGCGACACCAGGGGCTCTGCTACGTCTCTGCTTTTCTTGAGGTAAGAGGGCCTTGGGGAGCAATCATCCTTATTCCGAAGGCAGTCCTAACTGCTGCCCTGCTGCTGGAGGACCAGCCATGGGAAATCTAGGGATCCGTGCTTGCATCAGCTTTTTTCTTTTCTTTTCCTTTTTCCTTTTTTTTTTCCTTTTTCGAAGGGGGATGCAATATTCTTACATTGTATGCAGTAATTTGATGAACTTCAGTATTTCTTTCATGTTGTATTTTGCTGATTAGGAGGGTTTTAATTATGTAATTGTACAAATCCCACAAGACTGTGACTAATATTTTTTTTTCTTTTTCTTTCTTTTTCTTTCCCACCTACTCTGTCCTTTGCTTTTCTGAATATAATTACTTATGGTAGAGAATGCTTCCTGAGAGGAAGTAAATGCAAAAATCCAAATCTTTTACATACAAATTTCTAATTCCATAATTTTCTTACTTTAGTTTACTAGCAAAAGTTCAAAATATCTACCTTCAGTATTACGGCAAATAGAAAAAAAATAAACCAAGTATTTCAATAACCTACACTCATTTCAATTATAAGTTCTTCCAAAGAGATCTAATCTTCTCATAGACATAACAGAACTTTAATTTTAAGTCTATAGGCATCATACTTAAATGAATTTCAAAACAGAAGAAAGCTTTTTATAACACTGAATATAATTAATGATCCCAAATACACGATATGTACTCTTTAAAATAATGAAAAGACCAACAGAGCATTTGCCGCAGAATTCATGAATGCCCTTATGGTGGAAATATTTGATTGTGCATGCCCTATGGAATTGAGTGATGACTCTCACCTCAGTTCAGGAAAGGAAAATATCCCTGCTCAGGGCAGTCTGTTACTGAGAGGCCGCGGGTGAAGCAAACATTTTAAATACTGCCTACATGCAACCTCTTACATGGCAGATCCCTAGTTCAGATTCCACTTTTTACATTTCATCAGCTTTTTAGTCTTACTGCTTTCTCAGTGGTTCAAGCAGTTCATATCAGACACACACAACCGAGAAAGTAAAGTTGTTTGTACTGAAGCTGTGAATTTCCATTTCCAGTTTGCTGTTCTAATATTTTCAAGTCTTTCCTTTCAAGATGAGGAAGACGAGCAGTGTATCTCATCCATCTCATGCTTTGCCCTTCCCTCCCAGCTTGTAAGATGTCTGCTGCTGTCCACATCTTGAAACAACACTGGTTCTGAAGGAGGGAGGGATCGAAAAATTACAGGAATGGGAGTCAGTGTGGGACAAGATGGGTGAAGTGCAACCAGCTCTCGCATGCAAACCTTGCAACAGTTAACCTAGACAGGGACATTTTAAGACAAACGTATGGTTTGAATAGTTGCAAATTCGTTTTCTATTTGGATGTTAGTTTAAATGTTCTTTGAAAAATAAAAATTAACAAAAATCAGAAGGAAAAAAAAACCCTCCACCAGAGGCTGCTTTGATGGAACTTTTCTATTTTTAAGTAATGAAAACGAGCTTTTGCTCCCATTCTCTAGGTTTTAAAATCCGTAAGATGCATAAAGTTATACCTGATGATGCCTATCTTTTAAAATATATAAACTGTTTCTACAAAGAAAATGACATTTGCACTCTTCATTTATCCACTGGCCTGGCAGGAAGAAAAATGTATTTTTACAATACAAGTGAAATCACCATTAGTATTTTAAACATCCCCAGACCAAGCAAATTAAGTTGTTGTAGGTTTGCTTTTCATTTGTATCATGCAAGCCACAGAAATCAGGTCATCTTCGCGTAACTCATAGCTGATAGGGTTGCACTGAAGAGGACCCTCCTGTTGTCACTGGAGCCTCCAGACCCTTAAAGACACTTTGTGTGA